ATAATTGAAAAAAAATCATTACTATGGCAGTGTTCTTATGGGCAGCTTTTATTTCATGCCAAAAAGACACATTCCCTGCCAAAGAACACAAGCATTCTGAAGCAATTTTATATATGTAAGTTACTCGAGCTCAGAGCTCAAACTGATGAGCTTTTGGTTCACAGTATCACCCCTAACTCACTGTAAGTCGGTAAATCTTGACGATTTTCGCCGCAAGTTTTTCGATTTAATTGACACTTTTTCTTCAAAAGGTTACTAAAGTTCTTTTATGTTAATTTTAGTCTTAAACTATGTATGCCATGGCAGCATTTCTACGTCTCTGTAAACAGTATTTCAAGAAAAGTGTGTATCGGATTGTTGTTGCTGTTTTAGCAGTACGCCAAGCCCGTTTAGGAGCAAGCGAGCCTGGCGTAAATCATCAAGCTGCTCATCTGGCGTTAGGTCGAGCAAACGGGCTATTTCGACGGTTTCAGAGCAGGCATAGGGGGGTACCTGTTTCGGAAGATTTTAATCCCCACTTACATACATAACTTATCGTGGGTAAGTTTTTGCACAACCTATTCTGCCATTCGAAAGTCCAGGCTTCGAATCCTGGTGTGGTATTAACATCCAAAAAGTTATGGAAAATTTATTTAAATAATAAATAATGCTAAATTTTCTAACTGCGGTCGCCCCTCGGCAGGGATTGTCCACACCTTCGAGTGTATTGCGGGCATGAAATAAAGGCTGCTCGTGAAAAACCATCAGCTGTTCAGAGGCGGCTTAGTATAAACTGTTTGTCCCTTCATTTGTTCAGAAAACATCAAGACGCAAAAGCACAAAATGAAGGAGGAGCTCGGCCGAAAACCGCTTCAGCTCCTTCCCTGTTGGGTCATTTATCTAGTACACCAACATTTTCTAATAATACCTTCCACTTTTGTATGCGAAGCGGTTGTTTGCGTTATTAACAAGTTTTACTTGACAACAACAAACAACAAAAGCAATGGCAAAACCAGCTTATTTTTTGCTGACGTCCAAAACAGCAGCGCGCTGTAAAAATCAACTCAATAAGAAGCGAAGTAAAGAATATTTTTCCACGACCATTACATGCTAATACACTAGTTGTGCATACATATACATATACATATGTATATGTATAATATGTATGTTCGCATGCAAGCATAAGAATTTATTTTTGCCTTTTTTTCTTACTTTGAATTTACCTGTTATTGCAATTGCACTTTGTTTGTCGAGTGCATTGGCCAAGCGTCTTTGAAAAGATCGATTTCAATAACACCAAGCTTTGAATATGTATGTACATGTAAGAATATATGTATTTATATAAAAGTATAATATACTATATGTATGTATATGCTTTATATGCTTTGAGAAGGCTGATAAAATCGTAGAAAAAGCAAAAGTTGATTAGAACTGTGAAATGGTTGAATGAAACACCTTCAAATGCCTTTTCGTTTATCTAGCAAACATATGTACATATTTACAAATTTTTGTACATACCTGTATATGCACTTATGTATGTATATACAAAAGATGTTAGCAGTTGCATTTTTAATTGCTGTTTTCATCTGTTTTCGTATTTCTTTTTTTTTCAGTTAAAATATTTTTGAACCAAATAATTTTCATTTCTACACAACTGGAAAATTAATTTAATTTTTTTTTGTTACTGCCAAGAATTTAGATTTATAATATTATAAAATAAAGCGTTAGCCATTATGTTTATAAAAAAAAATATATCGGTCATACAACGTACCGAATATTCTCTTCCAAGGCGTATACAGACCCCGACCTACCTTCGTAAACAAGCGACTTCACGTAAACCCTCTAAAAAGAGTCCAGCGGTGTTGAATCGCACGAGTTTGCAGGTCACGCCACAGGTCCACGACGCAAGTTAATGCGCTCACCAAAAGTTTCCTGCAATAAAATTATTGCTGCCGTCTTTTGGAACCAAAGTTCGTCCACATCAATATTCTACAATTCAGACACGAGAAAGTCATTACACATGGCTCTATAGCATTCCCCACTTACTGTAACATCATGACCGCCTTAACGAAGAAATATGGACGACTGATTCCCTCTACCCATAGAGCACCCAACGGCGTCTCAACAATGTCTTGTGGATTACCATCGGACCAAAAAAAAATTTTTTTTTACCAGAAATAAGCTTCATCGCGTTAAATGACCCTCTCGTTTTCGACCCATTCAGCGAACGTGCGGCACGCTTGAGGGTAGTGGGGCTTCAATTCTTGAATTTTGTGAACTTTCAAACCAAGATCCGTTCGCAAAGTCTTCCATAAAGTGTATGGACACAGTTCCAATGCGCGCATTGGCAGTTGGCGGTTGGACTCAATCGCATATTCTTCGAAACACCGCTACACAGCTGCAATGAGGATGCGCATCTCTGAGGATGCGCATCATCCATTAGAGTAATTGTGGTACGAAACCGATTCATGGTTGCTCGATGTAACGACGCTACTGTGCATTTAAGTCGAACGAATGTTGTACGCAGGGCGCGATGTGTCTTGTAAGCCGAACCATTGTTTAGGTAATATTGGATGAGTGCATAAGTTCGTGCCCGATTTCAAGTGCAAACTAAAATTGAAATTTTTTGAAGAAAGCGCTTTTATTAATCAATTATGTATTCGCCATCATGTTCGGCAATCCACTCCCAACGTTCAACCAATTTACGGATGCCGGATTCATAGAAATCTCGCGGTTTCTCGTTGAAAAAGGTGTCAGGTGGTTTCTGACGTCTTCCACATTTTTTAATCTTTTTCCATTCAAATTGTTCTGCAGCGATCGAAACAAATGATAATCAGAAGGTGCAATGTCGGGTGAATATGGGGGATGCGGCATGATTTCCCAATTCATCTCCTTCAGTTTGGCCAGGGTCGGTTTTGCAACATGTGGCCTGGCGTTGTCATGATGGAAAAGAACTCCTTTGCGATTGGCCAAAATCGGACGTTTTTCATCAATTGCTTTCTTCAATTCGACCAATTGCTGACAATACTTGTTGGCAGTGATTGTTTCTCCAGCTGGCAAGAGCTCAAAATAGATCCCGCCTCGGATATCCAACTAAATGCACAGCAGTACCTTCATCGGATGCAATCCACCTTTCGACACCGGTTCCGCCCCTTTGTGTGCCTGTTTCCATGTTCTTTTGCGTTGAACATTGTTGTACAGGATCCATTTTTCATCACCAGTCACGAACCGATCCAAAAAAGGTTCGTTTTTGATCCGTCGAAGCAAAAAAATTGCTGTTGACATACGGTCCACTTTGTGTTTTTTTTTTCACTCAACTGATGTGGCACCCATGTATCGAGCTTCAAAGTGTACCCAACCTTTTATAAACGACGAAACGCAGTTGAGTTGTTGACGTTCAATTTACTGGCAACCTCTTCCGTCGAAATACGTGAGTTATTCGCAACTAAAGTCCTTAGAACATCGTCATCAAGCTCAGAAGGCCTTCCACTGCGAGGTTGATCTTCGATGTTAAAATCTCCAGAACGAAATTTCGCGAACCATTTCTTTACTATGCGGAGTGCTGGAGCACGGTCCAAATAAACTTCGCGAATATCTTTAGTTGCAACGCCTACTGTTTTTCCTTTGCGGAATTCGTATAACATAATATGACGCATATGATCTTTTTTGTTGTCCATCTTCCATGTGTCTTTTCACTAAGCAACTCAAATCAAAATGAAGTTATTTTATGCTTGATTTACAGTTCGGACTGTCACCTTTCCAACGATATATAATATGTATATATTTCTTTCACGAGCGCCACTCTCAAACGATTCGAACGGCATCCGGCGGAATCGGGCACGAACTTATGCACTCATCAATAATATAATAAATGTACACAAAGTTATCATATATTGAAGAATCAATAAAAAAACCGAACGAACTTTTTGCTTGACCTAATATAAGTGTTTGTTGTAATTTATCTACAATAAAAATAATTCACTTAATTGAGTGTGTAAATACAGTATACATATGTAGGTAGGTCAGCAAAATATGAAACTTTTAGCATTGAAAATTTGTAAATGTTAAAAATATGAAACAGATTGAAAGCGATCAGAGTTTTCAAGAAATATTTTTTGTTTTGTGAAATTAATGTGCATGCATATGTATGTACAAAAATTAAGAAGAACAAAATTGTGAAGGATTATTTAAATTTTCTAAAAAAAAAAAATATTTATATTATTTTATGTTTTCAAACTTCGTAGCAGGTTTCCAAAAACATCATGTTGTAATAATTAATCAGAGTTTATAGGAATATTTTTTTTTTATTAATTTATGGGAAATTACCTGCAGTCCACTCTTCATTATGCAAGTCATCATGAGTTCGCTAGAAAATCCTAGATGCAATACTTGCTTATTCGAACGTAAAAATAATTGCTTCGTAAGAAAACGACGCGTTAATTCAAACTAATCACCGTTAAACACTCGACAATTCGTAAATAATAAGTCTCTTAATCCTCACAAGCAATTCGCAGTAAGTGAAGAGTGACTTATTAATTTCAAAACGAGATTGGTAGACTTTGATTGAAAACTATGAAGCCCGAGACATTTTTAAACCGGATCAAAATGAAATATGTTTTATGTTTACAAAGTATGCTTTTTTTTCAATAGTATAAGTTACCGAAGAATGAAAAATAAATGATTTTTTTTTTTTGAAAATCTCACACTGGTTTAGTACCTTAAGGAAGCAAGAGCTAGCTTCATTCGTCACTTTACAAAAGCTCCTGTACACAAAAGGAAAGTGGTGAAAAGGCATCTCAAGCACTTTTGCTGGATGTTTTATACCTTTTCTTTTCGAAATTTCGAATCATTTAATATTTTCAACAAACGATAATTCGTAATATTCTAAAAGTCCCTCGAGGTTCGAATTAAGGAGCGTCAACTGTACATATTTAAATTCCTAAATATTATATACATACATAAATTTAGTTGTTATTATAATTGATTTATCTTTTAAATAAATTTTTCTTTCACTTTTTCAGGTGGTGGCGCCATCGAAATGGAACTTTCGAAAATCTTGCGTGACTATTCAAGAACCATCGCCGGTAAGGAGCAGCTGTTGATTGCTGCCATTGCAAAAGCACTCGAGATTATTCCACGTCAACTGTGCGACAACGCTGGTTTTGATGCCACAAATATTTTGAATAAACTTCGTCAAAAGCATGCTCAGGGTAAGTTTGCTTCGAAAATATTTTTTTTTTTTTTTTTTTTTTTTTTTTTGTGTATATATCTCAGCCGCCACAAGGCAAGAAAAGAAGGTAGTGCCACTCAAATGTGCAATGGATTTGTTAACTTATGCTTTATATTTCGTCTTTAAATTTCATTAATTTAATAAAAGCTTTAAAAAAAACGGCCGAAAAAAGCAAGAAAAAAAATTTAATCATAGTAAATTAATACTTAAATTATTAGACGCATATTGACTATACAAATCAATTCGACCCGTTTTTTATTAAAAGAAAGAATTAAAAAATAAATTCTTCAAAGCATTGTGCGACTACTTTTCCCCATTTCTTTGGTAATTTTCGTATGCCATCTTTAAAAAATGAGTCCTCTTTATCCTCGATGCAATTATTGAGCCATTCTTCGATTTCTTCTAAAGACCCCAACAGACGACCACTGCGAAATCGTTTTGCATCCATCGAAAATACAAGTAAACGGTAGGAGCAGGTTCTGGCGAATGCGGTGGTTGGGATAACGCCTCCAAATTCAGTGTATCCAGGTAGTTTTTGACAATAACAGTCATCGTAGATTCGAGCGTTGTCATGTTATAAAAACACCCTGTCATGCCTTTCGATCGTTTCGGGCTGTTTTTCATGCGGTGCACAGTTTTAACGCATTAGTTCTAGTAGATAACGATTCTCATCAAGAATGTCGCCTGATTTTAGCAGCATTTCTAATCTTTAAACTTCTTGGGTTAGCTCATTCAGGCTGCCTCTGTGTCTTCGACGTTGAAATCACCACTTTGAAACGTCGAAAACAACCATAAAACTTCCCACACAAATCCCGACATAAGCTTTGTGATGGACTCGCTCCATAAGAAGTGTGCGTTGGAGTAACAGGTAGAATTATTGATTCCATTAACGCTGGCAAAGGTCCAAGATGCTCATAGCTGAAATTTAGATAGATCGACCATGGTCGAGTTCTGCAAACTATGCAACAAACCCGTGATGACATGTTGGATCAATATGGAATAAGTTCAATATAAAAGTATGTAGCAAAATTTTAAATGCTTGAACGGTTCTCAAGGTGATTTTAAACTGTCGTGTAAACCAAACCACGTGTGCACAGTATGTTCGATGTTGAAACATTAATTATTGAGGATAGATGTGAAGCCTTTCCAAAGCAACAGATAATCGCTTCCAAGCTCGACCATAACTTGCAGGCAGAACCTGCCTTTGAGAACGGACCGTATTAATTTCTACCCTTAATAACCAAAAAAAAAATAATAATAATAATAAAAAATAAAAATGGTATAGTATTTTCTATTGAACCATTTTATTTGTACCAAGACACTTATTAGCAAATCCAAAAAAAATTTATAAAAAGATTTACATTTTGCAAAGAGCTAATATTTAAATCCATTTTCATTGCTTAATTACAAAAAAATGTGTTTATTAAAAATGATCTTTCATTAGCGCAAATATAAAAATAATGTTTCTTGTTTTTTATAAAAAAAAAACTGTGGAATTTCCCCAAATTTTTTTTAAATTTTTTTTTTACTGCTATTTTTGAGGTGGGCAAAACGTAACAAAGTGTCCACAATACACATTTTTAGGCCTAAAGTATTAGTAAATAAATCCATACAAAATAAATAGATAAATAAATAAACATTAAGCAACAACACAACTGTTGCTCTCTTTACGCTTTCAACACTCACAAAAAGAAAAAAAGTCACGTAGACGCTTTTAGCAACTGCTGCCAACACTGCGCAGAGCGGCTGAGAAGCAAGCAGCGGTTGGGTGGGAGAGAAGAGAAAAATGTTTTGAAAGCATAGACTCAGCCAAAAAAAAAACAAAAGGCATACTCTTTGTACGCAAAAACAAATGCATTTGTTTATTTCGTGTTTTCCTTGCTTTTATTGCTCACTTTGGCTGTTTTATTTTATTTTATTACTGTCTATATACATATTTAGTTATGTGCATTTGTACATATGTACATACGTATTTCCCCATATTTGTATTTTGGTTTTCTTCACATTCGTGCATACATACATACATATGTATGTATGTTAGGCTCTACAAAGTTTTTACGCAAAATTTCTGGTTTTTATTTAACAACACAAATATATTATATATGTATGTATGTATGTATAAATGTATACTTGCAGATTTAATTCATTTTGTTGCTACTCTGTATGGTCATATTTGCCATGCAAACAAAAAAATATGTAACGAAAATTTCTTATTTATAAATCACAGAAACGACAATTCATATAACGAAATTGGAAATTGAGTTATGCCTTTCTTATAAATACCTATTAATATTTAATTTGAAATGACCGGTACGATTCGTAAAACTAAAACATTTTTCGGTCTTCTTGAGCCACCTTGTCATACCCAGACCGCCATAAAGAAAAAAAAATTAAGCTGTTGGAACAAGTTAGTGTTTAATAAAGGTTAAAACACGTGCAGTTCGCTCAAGAATAACCGAGAATATTGCTGCTGTAGTCCAAAATGTTGAAAAAACTCCAGGTTTGTCCATTCCTCATTCGATTCTTTGGAATTGGGTATTCCACAAACGTCATTGCAATTGGTTTTTGCATAAAGACTTGTATCTTAAAGCTCACAAAGCTGTGTTAACACAAGAACTCCAACCGGCCGCTCATCAACAACGTCGGGTCTTTGCTGATTGTGTCCTTGAAATGTTACGGTGCATGGTTGGCACTATCGAGAGAGGATTAATGATTTTTATAGCGGCGCTACGTGCCACGCAAACAAAAAATCCATCGACCCTTTTATCTATCAAAGAGGTGTTCGCATTTACCTACCGAGATTTTGTGAACACCTTGCGACTTCTTCCACACCAACACGCCAATATCGATTCCAGACCTTAAAGATGGAATTCGATCAATTACTAAGTTACTAGAGACAAGTTGGCGCGGACGAACGGACAAACAGGCAGACGGCTGGCCATGACTAAATCAACTCAGCTCGTTATTCTGACCCGATGGTTATAGATTTTATGGGTCTATCTATTCTCTTTCTGGTGTACTTACATTCAAACTTTTCATACTATTATACATTCTAAAGTTAATAAACCATTTCATATGCCTGAGAAACATAGAAATAAATAATTTTAAAACCTAGCACTGTTTGTGTTGACACAGTTCCGAAAGAAGTGCCGGACAAAAAAAATTTATTTTTCCTTTTTTTTTTTGAATGTTTTGCTGAGAATTTTTTTGCACGGTTTTATTAAAAGACGAAATTGAGAAAATACTTCGAACGTGCGCTGTATTAATTAAAATATACTGAATGGTTTTTGAATTACTTTGGTCAAAGTTAAATAAAGAAATAGTTTTGAGAAAAAAAAACATTCAAAGATCTGCGAGTATTTGTCGTATGCACTTTAATTTTTCAGAGCACAATTTTTAAATATTATATTAGCAGACCTATTATGTCGAGGTAACAAAATTTACTTTGGTACTAAAAATTACCAATCAGTAATTTTTGTTACTATTTCGTATTCTTAGTTCACTGTCACCCTGTAAATTTTGTTACCAGCGAAACAGCAGGTAACAAAAAAATCTGCTGATTTTGATTTTATGTTGTTGGTTTAAGAAAAAATAAAAACCAAAATGGGTAGGCATATTTTAGGCCTGAAATTTATTGAAGATGAAGAAAAAATTGCAGAAAGTCGTATTTCAAGAAATTTTCGAGCCAAAAATAGCCCTTTTAATTTGTATGATGACGTTTTCATTCAGCTCTTTTTGTTGTCCAAGCATATTTTCCATAATTAGGTTCAGATATTTATGATTTAGTAAACAAATCAACAAAACTTAATTATTTTTTTTTTGCGCACCGTCTTCCATTTCGATGTGAATATTCTTCGTTTTTATTTTACCAACTAGCAAAAGTAATTTGACAAGGCCAAAAAAAAGCGGTGCTGCCAAAGTTTTTACAAACATTGTCACCAGTTCGCCAGAATACCAAATTCAGTTTCGGGTGTTAAAAAAAAGTAACAAAATTTACTTTACCGGTAACAGTGAGAAAAGGCCTGTAGGTATTAAACAAAATTTATTTTGTCTGTGTTGGTATACCTTTTCGAAGCGATTACTTTCTTGCGTCTCAACTCTGCCTTACTTCTTTATTACATTATTACTATGGGCATGCATCTAATTTCATTTCCTACTGTGAGAGGGCTTACATTACATTGCAGCAATCGCAGACGACGATATGTGCACGCATTTGTCGTAAGAAAGTTGTAATATGATCGTTTTTACTGTTGTGCCTTCGACTACCTTTTCGCTTGCTTGCATTTTGTTGTTTCGTACTTATTTACGATCATCATAACTCTTTCAAAATTATGCATGCCAACAACTATGCTGCTCTCTTTATTCAGTGTTGCATGCATATTTACGTACATACAATATTAGACGGATCCAAATTGTGGCCGATTTTGGAAGCGACTACTCAACAACAACACCATTTACTATACATCGGCGGCTTTCTGTTGACAACATTGTTTTTTCTCCCTCTTCGAAAGTGTCTGGATTTGTGTAAGATAAACAGCTTTTGCGGGATGTTTTGGTTTTATATTTTAATTGGAAGAAAAACTCGTGGCCCGTGGTGGTTTATGGCACCGATTATGACCGATAAGTCAGGCAGACATGGGATGGATATCTAATGAAGCCAATCTTGGTTTTACGAGTGTGTTCTGCGCATGACGTCGGCATCCTGTACGAAATTATTTTCGGAAAAATCGAACGATTTAAGAATTCATGAAATTTTATAGAGGAGTAGATTTCAATCATAAAAAAAATCGTGCTTGTAGCTCGACTTGCTTGCTATAGATAGTTTTTTGTCTAGATTAATATATGTCAGGGTGTTTTTTTAGACATTTGGTTTTCCATGATACATTGCTTTTTGATTCATACTCAGTTTGGTGTGCCGTTTCATAATGAACAGACTTAGTCCGAAACAACATTTTGACATCGTGCTCTAGTGAATAATGCCCGAGATGATTGGTGGGTGGGTAGAGAATATTCGGCGCGTTATTGCCGATTATATGTGGCCCCAATCGCAGGAGAAAATGGCCGAAAACTGGATCTCTTGGCTGAAATTTATATGAGCCAGTCGCCGCGGTGATCACTTGCCCGGTATCATTTTGGCAACATAAGCCTTCTTTTTATAATAAAGCTAAGTTCTTGATCATTAAAATTAAATTATATGCGTTTTATTTTATCATGAAAACCACATGCCAACAAAACACACCCTTTATATAATATATAATTGGCGCTTTGTAACCGCGAAAGCGATTTTTGTACCAAGAGCAATTTGTGGTGTGCGTCTTGATGTTTTTTCCACCAAGAAGGACCCCTACAGTTTATTCTAAGCCACCTCAGAAGAGCTTTTATTTCAAGTCAGAATAAAGCTCTAAGGGCATGACATTCCCTGTTGAGGGGCGACTGCAATTAGAAATAATTAAAATTTTTTTATTTAATTTTATTTTATTTAATATATATTTTATAAAGAAAATATCTTATTTGACTTTGTGGAAAACTTTTCTTCCCAGAGATCGATTCATACGGAAATATCATATTCAGGGTTTGATTTTCATATCAAAAAAAATGTTTTAATGTACATACATATAAGTATTATATTCAGTTACCGTAACAGACACACTAATTTATAAGTGGACCCTTTACCCTTTGCAAGAATCTGCTGTCTTTTTTTTTGTTTTCTTCTTGTTTTATGATTTATACACAATTAATTTTATACTTATGCATGTTTCGTTTTTGCTTTTTTCTTTTAGGCGGCCAATGGTACGGTGTTGACATCACCAAAGAGCACATCGCCGACAACTACGATCAGTGCGTCTGGGAGCCTTCCATTATTAAGATAAACGCTTTAACTGCCGCTGCCGAGGCTGCCTGTATGATACTCTCCGTTGACGAGACCATCAAGAGTCCCAAAGCTGGTGAGATGCCAATGGCCGGCGGTATGGGTCGCGGCATGGGTAGACCAATGTGAGCGTAAACAACTTAAATGATATGTAACCACATCGTAAATTTACTAGAAGCTATAGTTTCCCAAAAAAACAAAAACTGTTTTTCTAAAACTTAAAATGTACTAGTATTTTATTATTTGCATAGAATCATACATTCTTACATAGAAAAAAAAACTTCGTTTGAAGCACTTCATGTCTAAAATAAATAACTATCGCCTAACACTTATCTACTATTAAATTACTATGCTTTTAATAAATAAAGATAACAAATTAAACAAACAAAAAAAAAATTATCAAAAAATGTGTTTTCACTTTTGCGTTAGGTTGATGCAAAAAAAAAATATTGATACAATCAAATTTTTAGCAAAAAATCAGACGAAAATTTCGAGCTTGAGACCCTCTTTTTATGATGATCACAGCAAATGCACTGAAGACTACGACTTGAGCGCTTACAGCTGGAATGTCTGGACCGCTAATTGAGAAGATGTCGCTGCTTAGTTGATTAAAGTTCACGGCAAAGTGAAGGCTAACATCACCGCCGTCCAGGAGGAGGAGGCGATAGAGATGCACACAATCGTTGGCGGGTACATGTTATGAGAGAGACTCAGTCGCCCAATTTTGTCATCCACCACGCTGAATGAATGTCTCGTCACTAGCCGCATCAAAGCGAAGCTCTTCAACATTTTCAACGTTTTTTGTTAAAACTCCCCGATAACTTTTCCCAAATCCTCTAAAGCCCGATCACTTGGATTGTTAAATAAAAGTTCCAGGACTTAACCAATGTTTATTTATTTTGCATAAATAAATAGCAATTCACTTGACTATACACGACGAATTATATTACAACTCGAACAGCCTCACTCAACACAGATGATATCACTACCGAGTTCCAAACTCAACTGAACATGCCATCAGTGCACGTTTTACTCTTAGATAGTTACAGATTGTTCGCACGTATCTTCTACAGGATTCTGTTTCAATTTTGTCGATAACGAGCACACGATGCACGTGCTCTGCCTCGAACATTTTTTAGTTCTCGGCCTCTCAACGCGATAATAAAATCCTGCTTGGCGATTTTATTCAATGTCAGTTTGGGCAAAGAAGTTGCTTTCAGAATGCCAATCGGAAAATTGTAGCTTCCACGCTGAAAATTCTTCAAATTGTGTGAGGCATAAAAAAAATCGATTAAGCTACTCGGCTGTCACCGGATCGAAAGACTTGAAACCCAATCGATCATGGTGTGATACAGAGACCCCCTAGTTTTTTTATATGTACAGATTCTTCGAGGACCTAATATCTACTCGGAACATTACATTGTGGCAGCTAAAATTCTACGCACTCACCACTGGGTAGCGAAGAGTGAGCGTCTACAAACAGGACATGACTAGCTATAATAAGATACTGAGAACACGCGCTAACAACCGGCAACATATTGGATGAGTGCATAAGTTCGTGCCCGATTCCGCTGGATGCCGTTCGAATCGTTTGAGAGTGACGTTGCTGGAAAGTTGATAGTCCGAACTGTAAATCAAGCATAAAATAACTTCATTTTGATTTGAGTTGCTTAGTGAAAAGACGCATGGAAGATGGACAACGAAAAAGATCATATGCGTCATATTATGTTATACGCATTCCGCAAAGGAAAAACAGTAGGCGCTGCAACTAAAGATATTCGCGAAGTTTACTTGGACCGTGCTCCAGGACGCTGCACAGTAAAGAAATGGTTCGCGAAATTTCGTTCTGGAGATTTTAACGTCGAAGATCAACCTCGCAATGGACGGCCTTCTGAGCTTGATGACGATGTTCTAAGGACTTTAGTTGCGAATAACTCACGTATTTCGACGGAAGAGGTTGCCAGTGAATTGAACGTCAACAAATCAACTACGTTTCGTCGTTTAAAAAAGGTTGGGTACACTTTGAAGCTCGATACATGGGTGTCACATCAGTTGAGTGAAAAAAAAACAAAGTGGACCGTATGTTAACAGCAATTTCTTTGCTTCGACGGATCAAAAACGAAACTTTTTTGGTTTGGTTCGTGATTGCTGATGAAAAATGGATCCTGTACAACAATGTTCAACGCAAAAGAACATGGAAACAGGCGCACAAAGGGGCGGAACCGGTGTCGAAAGGTGGATTGCATCCGATGAAGGTACTGCTGTGCATTTGGTGGGATATCCGAGGCGTGATCTATTTTGAGCTCTTGTCAGCTGGAGAAACGATCACTGCCAACAAGTATTGTCAGCAATTGGTCGAATTGAAGAAAGCAATTGATGAAAAACGTCCGATTTTGGCCAATCACAAAGGAGCTCTTTTCCATGATGACAACGACAGGCCACATGTTGCAAAACCGACCCTGGCCAAACTGAAGGAGATGAATTGGGAAATCATGCCGCATCCCCCATATTCACCCGACATTGCACCTTCTGATTATCATTTATTTCGATCGCTGCAGAACAATTTGAATGGAAAAAAATTTAAAAATGTGGAAGACGTCAAAAACCACCTTGACACCTTTTTCAACGAGAAACCGCGCGATTTCTATGAATCAGGCATCCGTAAATTGGTTGAACGTTGGGAGTGGATTGCCGAACATGATGGCGAATACATAATTGATTAATGAAAGCGCTTTCTTCAAAAAATTTCAATTTTAGTTTGCACTTGAATCCTTACGTATCACCGAACAATTGACTTTCGACAGTATGAGAAGAAAAACTGTGGTATGATGAGCACTGTCGTGTTTTAGTGGGGAGAATCTAAACTGTCTATTGACGACCGAAGCATATTCATGTAGTACTGCAAAGCAGATCTGGTAACCGATGATCAGATCAGAGCATACAGTTCATGGAGGGAAGAAGGAGCGCATGGTCTGCTGCTTTGGCAAATGCATGTTTAAGCATATTCTTTGCCGTTCCTTCCCTCACTAGCTCGTCTGCTATGCAATTACCTGCAATGTCTGTCATATCGTGTATGTATGTCTAAATTCGGAGGGAGCTCTCCGAGTTGTTTGACGCTGATCGAGGTTTCAGACAGCCTGACTTTTTTTGATGTGACTACTGCAACCTAGTGCTGGAAACAAGAATGAAAGCTGCAGAACTAAATAGAAGAATAGAACCTCTATAAGACCGTACAACTGCTGAACGATGAGCACATCTGGTGAGTCGGAGTCGGAGTTTTGAAGAAAAATTTTTACAATGCTTTTGTACTGAACTGGAACTGATACATACATACATACATATACATATAAACATGTACGTATGTATGGATGTAATTGGAATCCAAGAATTGAAGCTATAGAATAGTACGTAGTTACATATATATGTACTTAAATACATATGTTTGGGTATATCTACATATATTTCTACATATTAACATATCGTATTACACTATATACATACATATATTATATACAACGAACTTTCTGCGACGCAATAACCAAATATCATCAAAAAATCACCCACTCACATACATAAATATGTATACATATATAAGTACATCTGTACGTACTATTTATTGTCGGTGCTGGTACTAAATCTGTGCAGGCACAACAGGACATTGCCCGGGAAACGACTACTAAGAATTCCATAAGCATATTTATAAACAGTTTTCCACTACACATACATACATACATGCATGCATACATACATACGTCTATAAAAAAGTATGCAGAAATCATGGGAGTGCCTTATTTATATACGAGTATATGTACATACCTATGTATATATAATGTGAGGGTACTTAGTATACATATGTATATGTATGCATGTATATCTGCAAGCAGCGACGCGCCTCTCTTTTTTCTACCTTCATCCTGCAGCCGCCACTGTTGGGTTCTTGATAAACAAAAATGATGGGAAATTCCCAAATCCTGCAGATATTTCAATTTGATACCAGTATTTTCTACAACGCAATACCCAATGCGCATGTTCATTTCACGGTATATACATATGTATTTATGTATGTATGTATGTTGGTATCCAGAACTGCAAAGCTGGCTGTACCCGGTGAAAGAAGCTCATGTTCCAGCAACAATTTGTGACAATTTTATAATTGAGATTAAAAAGGGTGACTCGAAAAGGCTTACATATGTACATACATACATATATATATGTATGAATGTACATAGTTTTTTTTCCAAAATGTAGACTTATAATAGAACCGATCTATCCGAGAAAAATCGAATTTATTTTTAAGCCATTCGATTTACATGAACTTTGGCAAAAAGGTAGCTTTGAGGCCTGAGATCGATCTACTCGGAAAAATTTGATAGAGAAGTAGCTTTTTTCCTTTATTAACATCGGGAAATAGACCTGGAAACCATTCGATGTTTCGGTTTTGCTCATTATGTGGAACATACATACATATGTAAGCTCGGCTCTTTGTCGGGACTATTTTATTCTATTCGGAAAACTTGTATTTATTACATTTCAAGTTGATATGTAGATATCTGGATGATATAAGTATAGATCATAGCCTAGATTAAAAATAGCTTTCCTTTTGTGGGAATCGGATCTGGTATCGATCTAATAAAAAATAGTATTCATAGCTTGATTTTCTTGATATTTAGAACATAGTGTGGAAGGCTCCTTGCCTAAACTAATATGTATGTGGAAAACATTTCCTTCATTCCCATACGTTTCAAAGGGTCACATCAACTTATGACTGGGGAAAAATCTCGTTTTTTTAATTTTTCGAATGCACATACATACATACATACATATTTTTGACAATATTTTCCGAAAATCTCAAAATCGATTCGTCGAACAGTCTCGCAGATATGATCGTATCATTAAGGACATCTCGTGGCGTTCGAAAATAGGCTAAGCGTAAGACGGAGTAGCTTAACTTAGTTTAAATGGTTCTCTAAACTTTAAATGCGTTTCTCTCGAAACGTTATTTTCAGAGTAATTTTGTCAAAAATCAAAATTTTCAGTATCTTTACCAGCATTAAAGGCATTCCTACATTATAATAATAATTTATTTTGGTTATCGCGTTTCAGATAATTTGAAGCATGAATATATTCTTTCACCTTTTCTTGGAGGCCCTTCTGGAGATCGGTTACAGTAAAGAGAGAAACAATCGTTTATTGTTTATTGGAGATACCAAGTGAAACTATAGAACGCTCTACACAGGGAGGAGGTCTTGCTTTTATATATGTATATATGTGTGTATGTATGTGCAGAGGTATAAAATTGCACTCATGCATATATGCATATATATAAGTATCTATACATACATAATCGTATATGTAAATAGCATTAGATATTTATGTACTTGTATGTAAATACGTTT